AAGTAATTGCAAATCTAAAACCAAGCTATTGAGTACAAAATAAATATGTTATCTCAACAACTTAAAAGTCTAATATATTTTACGTGCTTTAACAATTTATTTTCTAATCTTCTCATTTTTATAAAGTTTCATTGTAGTTTTAAAATAAGTTTTTTTAATCTTCTCATATTCTAAAAAAATATAATCAAATTGACTTCTTCGATTTAAATATATCATAAAAATATGAAATTTATTTAGAAGTGAAGAAATATCTTATTAATTGCTTAGGGCCAATTTAGTTCTCAAATTTTGGAGATATTATAAGATGTGGGTTATGAAAACTCAGAGAAATGATATGGACTTTGTAATCTGAAATGATTTTATTTGGAAAGATTTAAATTCAGGATTTAATTAGTGGTAAGAAAAGGTGACTGGCAACGGGAGTGGTTGGCAGTGATAATGGTAGCGAGTGACGAAGAATGATCAATACTTGAGAGAGATATCAAACCCCCATATTGATATCTCCCAAATTCGGGAGATACTGAGACCATCAATTTTAAAGATTTATGATATCTACAGATATTAAATTTGATAACTCTTTTAGCTTCACCAAACACCAGAAAAGGATAAGGATATCCAGAGATATCAAAATTCAAAACTCATATTTTTTTGCTTACCAAACACACTTTTAGAAGTTTTGTAATAATTGAATAGAAAATTATACATAATTAGAAAATAATTATTATAAAAATGAATATCTATATTCTCTTCCATAATTAATTGTACCGAAGGACTTCATACAATAGTATTAACTTCTTACTTTCTATAATATATTTTACGTGTCACGAATGTCTCTTAAACAATATCACATCTCTGCTTCTTAAAGATTAAAATATCAATTTTATAAATAAAGGATCAATTATAAACATATTTGATCCTTTTCTATAAGAATACTCTTAAATGAGAATATATCATTGACTAATTTACCTAAATAAAACGAAAACATAATGACTTTCCTAATATAGTACCATATGTTTTTATTTCCCAATGTAGGAGTCTTGGTCATTATTAATTAGTCATTATTCAAGTAAATGTCCATCATTACTGGACATTATTCCTTCACTAAGACATTATTAAATCATATTTAGGGAATAAAAAAGTTTAAGTCCTAAATTAGGAAAGTCATTATGTTTTAGTCCTATTTAGTGCAAATTTCACTATATCATTATCATAATTTTGTTTTTTTGTGTATGCACTTAAAAATTTGATTCATAAAAAATGCTAGTCTTGAAATGGTAAGTGATAATACCAATTTTATATTTTCACTAATTATATAATTGTTTTCCTTTTAAAATTTTATTTCAGACAATACTCAATTTATCTTTCACAAATTTGATTTTATAACATAATTAATTTTATCACATCATAACAAATAAATAGATGAATTGCTTTTTAAAAATAAAAATATAAATACTCAACTAATGTCACGAAATAATGAATTCTTTATTTGTACTAAATCTTTTAACGTAAAAATTTTCCAAAATTTGAAATCATTATTAAATTTCTATTTTAAAATAAAAAGAAAGGTCAATTCATCATTAATAAAATTTGTCACATAAGCAACCAATAAAGACTTGCCATCTCACCTTAATATAGCCCACATAAGCTTGTATTTTGGCGACTTTCTAGCAAACGGAGTCTCAAATATTATATTAAAGGATTATATTTTTTATAACTAAAAAGAAATTTTTATAAAAGCTTAAGTGAGATTGTAACAAAAAGCATCATAGCTTGGATGGTTAGGAACTCAACTAAATGACCAAGAGATCCTTGTTTCAAACCCCATGGTGGTATGCTTTTGGGAAAAAATTGCAAAAAAAGAACTGGTCTAACCGGTCAAACCGATCGATTTGTCTAATAGGGTGACATATCAGCTTGCCACATGTCGCGCTTTATCTTTGCCAAATGTCGCCACATCAGCTCGCCACATGTTGTGCTTTAGCTCTGCCAAATGTCACGTTCTTATAGCTCCGACTCTACTTTATATATATAAAGGATTGCACCAAATATCCCTTATGGTTTTCGGTGACCTCAGTATTAATTAATTGTTTCATTTAATATAAGAGACTAACTATATAACCTATTTCCCTGTGTCTGCCAAATATTTTTTGAATACTCTTTTTATATATTTTTTTCTTCTTTTATGGTACTTTTATATGGATAGCTCATTTTGACCTTAGTCATGTTAGTGTTAAATTGAAGGCTAAAAGTACAATTTTACAATAACGATCATGTTTCTGTCTTGTCATAATTAATACTAGACGTCACAATTTACGTGTCTTTTATCAGCATGAGTCGTTGTTGATTGAAATTGTTGGAAATTTAAAGTAAATTGGACATTTTCGGTCATAAATTCGGTTCGGTCCACAAAATTATTTTTCCAAAATAGTTATGGACGATTAATCTCGTAAGTAAGACGAACGTCTTGATATATTACACGCCATAAACGGTGCTCGGGTGAATGAGAAATTAATTCTCAAGGTTGAATACTAAGGTAGAGTAATGCCTTTGTCCCACACCGGTTGCTAAACCTTTCGTATTCTCATATTTAAGCTTAGGCATTGAATTGAGCTTATGAAAGGAACAAGAAGAGGACTCCTTGCGCGCCCGCAGCCGCCGCCGTCCGGCTCGACACGCGCGCGAGGCGCGTCGCGCCCGCATCTGTGACGTGGCTAAATTTTTACGAGACCGAAACAAACGCGCGTGTACACTTCGTTATACGAAAATAACGAAGTGTTTAACGAAGTGTACGAAAATGAAGCATGCATGCATGCATGGCCGACCGAAGAGTCGCCTCAGGCTCCTCGGTATCTCCGTCCGGGCTGTCCAGTTAGCCAATCCTCCTCCTATTTAAGGAGAGGATTGTTGAGAGAAGAAAAAAAAAGAAGTACACTCGAAAATCTCTCTCTCTCTCTGCGTTACAACTTACCGATCATCTCCCATCTCCGATCACCTTCTCCGGCTATAACTCCCGTTGTTCTCGTTCGCCGGTGCTTTGTTCTACCGCTCTAGACATAGCACGAAGTGGCTACCTTAAGGAAAGCTTCGGCGACTCCGCTTTCCTTATCTACGGTTCAAGAAACATCTCCGGCGATCCTTTGTTCTCCGTTCGAACTCCCGAAGACTCCAAGTTTTTTTTTCTTTATTTTTGTTGTTGTAAAATCCGAACGTTTTATAAGTTCGGATTATTTCTATTTTTTTTTCCCCGCTGTAATATTCAACAGAAATCATTATTGTCTACATATGTCGTCTCTGCTCGGAATCATAATCCACATCCGTAGTTATTATTCTTGTGTTTTCTATCAAGCTGACATTAGAATATGTCACTCGACATAGGATTGATGTGAATTTACATTTCAGTTTCTCATTTTAACATCAATATGACATGCGATTAAAAAAAGACTATTCGTGAAAAATATTTACAAAAAAAACTCACAAACATAATATTTGATAATATAAGATAAAATGTACAACGAAAATATCCAAACAAGAAGTGTTAAGTACTATACTAAAACAGTAAAACTAGTTTAAAAATTAGGAAAGTGCAATTAGGTGTGTGTTTAATATTGTTGTGGGGTGTGCCCATCACCACCCCATCTTATAGGTCGTCACCATAGCTCTTTACTATTTTTGTCAGTTCTTCCCGCTTATGTGTAGAAACAAAATGGCCGTCGAAGCTTCATCGCCGGCGCCGAGCCAATCAAGACGATCCCCTCGAGATTCCGGCTTCTCGTCCACGTCTAGAAGCGCAAATTCCAGATCTTCAGATCCGCCGGTCAGCACCAACACCTCCGCCGCATTAAATTCGGCTTCCACCTTCCCATCCGACTTCCGACTCCCAAGCTCTGTCGCCACCGCCGCCCTCTGCAGCTCGCTCTCCAACCTGCGGCAATCGCTACCCGAGAGGCCGCAAATTTACGATTTCTCTGAAATCCGAGCTGCCACAAACAATTTCCTCTCGAAGCGCTACTCCTCCGCCTCCTCTTCCCAGTCGTGGCGGTGCTTTCTTCACGGCAAAGAAGTCATCATATTCCAGCGATTAATCCGGAGATCCATAGAGAAATCGGGACTAACGGCCAAATTATCAGTCATCTGCCGGAGCCACAACCGGAGTATAATCAAGCTCCTAGGCGCGACGATCTCCGGCAATCAAATTTACCTTGTTTACGAATTCGTTTCTGGATCCAACCTCGCTCTATGCCTTCGTAACCCTAGAAACCCTAGCTACACGGTGCTCTCGACATGGCTGTCGAGAATGAAAATCGCTACAGATTTAGCCCAAGGTTTAGATTATACTCACAATATGACGGGACAGGGATCGAACTTGGTCCACAAACACGTGAAGAGCAGCGGTATCATCCTCACCGAGGATCTGTCATCGTTCAATGCGAGGATTTGTCATTTCGGAGCGGCGGAGCTCTGCGGCGAGACAGAGATCACGGAGGAGCCTCCGGCGACGGGATCTCGATCTGAGAATCGGAACCGGCAGTTCGAAGGCGTGCACGGTTACATGTCTCCGGAATTCCAGGTCACTGGCCTCGCGACGAAGAAATCCGATGTATACGCATTCGGAGTTGTGCTTCTGGAGCTTTTCTCCGGCGAGGAGCCGGTGAAGTTCAAATATGACAAGGCGAGCGGGGAGTACTTGAAAATTTCAGTGGTAGAGACGGCGAAAGATGCAATTGGTGGCGAAGAGGCGGGGAAGGGGCTGAGACGGTGGGTGGATGGGAGGCTGAAGGACTCATTTCCGGTGGCGGTGGCGGAAAAGGTGATCCGGCTGGCGTTGGATTGCGTCCACGTGGAGGCAGATGAGAGGCCCGATATGCGCCGCGTTTCAGGAAAGTTATCGAAACTCTTTTTGGAGTCGGAGTATTGGTCTACGCGGGTGCAAGTTCCCACCGATATATCCGTTTCTTTAGCACCCCGTTGAAATGTTGTTATGCTGTCTCTGACCTCTGCCCCCAAGTAAACTGTCTCGTTACACCATGCTCCCCCCGTCCCAAATTATTTGTCACATTTATATTATCAAAACAAAATAATAAGTTTTTTTAATTCATTTTATTTACATATTGGTAAAAAATAAAAAATAAAAGTACATATCAAAAAACTACATGAAAAGTTCTTCGAAATTAAAGGTGTCAAAAATATTTTATTTTATCAAATAACCAATGAAAATGTAGAAATAAACAAAAGTTCACGCGACTGTTGAAAAAGCACATGTGATAAATTTGGGACGGAAGGAGTATTTTTTATTTTTGAAAATTATTCTATAATTGGTCTTTCATGGACTATATGTGGAAAAATTAATTTAGTCATATTTGGCCTAAAAGACTATTCATGGAATAGTTTTAAAAAATTAAGAACTATTTATATGATATCTTAAAATTGAAATATTACTAGTAACTATGGACTATTTATTGAATTTACTATTTTTTATTTTATTTATCAATTTTCGTTATTCTTCTCATAAAAAAACATAGTCATATTACTATTTGTGTTTCTAGGATTTTTAATATTTTTTAAAAATTATCTTTATTTTCATATAAATTGAATTCAAAATTGTTTCATTTTAAATATCGTAAACAGAAAGAAATAATTTATGAGGTAAGGAATTCCTATGGGTTTATGGAGTGCTACCTTCGTCAATAATGAATCATTCTACTTTTTCCATTTCAAATTAGTTAGTACTAGTATCGAACCCTGAGTTACACGGGTCATTTCTATGTTATTAAATTCAGAATATTTTTCAATTATAAAAAATGAGATGCAATAGAATATAGATATTATATTATTTTAAGGTACAAAACATCGATGCTTTACAAATTTCAAAAGACTTCTTTATAGACTATATTATTTGTACAATTTGTGGAATATTGTCTTCATTGCGTTAAAAGTCTAAAAATATACTCCCTCCGTCCTATAATGATCTTCCCGGTTCGCAAAATGAAGAAAAATCCTAAGTTTTTTCAATCTATTTCATTTAAATATTGGTATAGAAAAAAAAATAAAGCATACATATTTAAAAACTACATCAAAAGTTCAACAAAACAAGTGGTGACAAGAATATTTTATTTTATCATATAGGCCATGAAAAAACACAAATAAATATAAATTCCCGTGAAGTTGGAATAGTGCTCTGGGAAGATCATTTTAGGACCGAGGGAGTAGAATTTTATAAATATCATAAACAATATTTTTTAAATATATTTCATGTGTGTAAGTATTTGAGTTATGTAATGTAAATGACTCTTACAAACTAAAAAGACACTGTTAGCAATCTTTGTTTTGAGTATATCTTCAAAACTCTTAAAGTTGTATCGGAAATTAGGAAATCCATTTTCCGAGAGTTTTGGTTTGGTTTTTTCTTTTCATTTTTGTATTTGATTGTATTTCTTTTAATTTTTTTGTTTGATTGTTTTTCTATTAATTGTGTTTAAATTTTGTTCCCAATTTTAGCAAAATTTGGTGATAGTGATAAGAAACTTGATATTGTATGTTGACAATCTTGACATTTCACTTTCTTTTTGACATTTTATATTAGGTAATAACATGTTTGACATTATGCAATGACATGTTTGTCAGTATGCATTACATTGTAGCTTTGGTTGACATTGTATTGAACATTTTCCTTTGGTAGAGACACCATGGCACTATGTTTTACTACTACTTTGGTCCTTCTCCCATTTTAAAGAGGTAAATATACTCTCATCTACAACTAGAGGTAAAAGAAGGGAAGAGGTGGTTGACAGTGGCCAGAATCATTCTATTATTTCCATTTCCAAAAAAAAGGATGAGCCTCATCCCCGAGTACTCCTTCAGACTCGACCAGACAGTTACTGAGAAGATGTAATTAGACTTTAATTACAGATTGGTGGCAAAAAGTATCTGCACTTGGTACTTGCATTGACCCTATGCTTTGCATAGTTACTTCCTAGCTCAGTTGTTTGGAATTGGGTCTTACCCCTAGACACTTTTACCTTTGCTAACTACGCAACGCCTACCAGTAATTTTTTTCTAAAACAATTACAATGGAGTGCTACTTTTGTCCTATGGACTATGGAGTATTACCTTTCTTCTTTTATGTAATAAACTAAAAAAAAGTTTGGATGTTTTGTGGTAAAACTAGCTACCAGAAAGAATAAGATTTGTTGTAGTGTTTTTTTATGAAGACCGAGTACATACTCCGGAGTCCGAATTGATCTCGTCTACTCTAGAACAATCTTTTCAAGGGTCTATCTAGTCTTTTTGCTCATCTCTATTGCAAGGAGTGACTAATAGCTAAACACTATGAACAATACAATGACACTAAACACTAGAAATGCTGAGGGAATCCCAAGCAATTTGACACCAAATGTACACCAAGACTAATATAGATACGCACAGACAATTAATGCATGTGTGTGCAGAGATATTAAATATTTAGGTGTGTCTCTATTAGTTTTAATGTGCATTTGAGGTAAAAATGGGGAGGTCCCCCTATCATTTGGTATCAAAATCTCGAGATCCCACTTCCATGAATGAACAATATCTATCAAGATTGGCTAGTAATTGTAGTAAGTGGACATTGAATTGCTTATGTCCACAAAGCCTATCAATCATATTAGGGAGAGAAAATGGATAGGGAACCATCAAAGACAACAAAGAATTTTTTTTAAAAAAAAGGATGATCCCCATTTCCAATGATCTCTTCAGATCCGATCAGGCAGTCACTAAAAAAGATAAATTAAACTTTGATTGTAGGAATCGAACTTCAGTCTTATCCCATTGGCACTCATTTCCTTTCCAACTATACAACGCCCACCGGGAACAAAGAAAATTAATGTTTTGAAATCAAGTGTGATAGATACTATACCCTGGACTAAGGGGGTATCCAACCCAATAAAAATAGTATCGGCCCAATAGAAGGCCCATCTAACTGCAGGGAATTGGATGTGCTCGGCCAAAAACCCCATAGATACAGGTTTGATATGTTTTTAAGCTACCATAGATACATTATTGTTTTATTAAATTATAAAAAATGGAGTAGCCTTTTTAATCCAAAAAAGATAGATGTAGAGTATTTACTTGTATAAAGTGCGTATTTTTATCAAAATAAAAAAATTAAAATCACAAAAATTAAATAAATGGAGGGATGTCCTTATAGTAGGTTATTTAACTTACAAACAACTAACTATAAACAGGTAAAGTTGCCAAATGTTTAACTTTTAATAGCCAACACAAATAGTAAGTCAAAATAGCTTATTCTATTAGTCATTCAAATCAGCCAACATAAACAACCAACAACCAGGTTCCATACTAGGCCTATATATACCTCAGTTGGGAAAGCAATTTATTTAAATAGCACTCAAACATAATAACTTTTTCAAAATAGTATCATATTTTTTTCTAATGTAGTACCACTTTTCAATGTCCACCGATCATTGTTCAAGTAAATGTTCACTACCACTGAACATTGTTCAAGCTAAATGTCCAACATTACTGGACATTATTCTCTCTATTAGACATTATTTAAGTACTACTTAAGAAATAAAACAGTTTAGGTAGTAATTAGAAAAGAACATATGTTTTAGTATTATTTAGTTCAAATTTTACAAGTTGAAAAGTATAAAAACTTGAGAAGTACTTGAACTAATGTAGAGACCTGAAAAATACTTTTAAGAAAATATAAGAGTTTAGTAAGACTTTTTTCTTAAAAAGAAAACAAAGTGAGAAAATAAAAAAGGAGCATTGTTTAGAAAATCTTTTGGGAAAAACCATCCCTCCCAAAATGGGGGATCCACCACAGCATGGCGGGGAGTTATGGAGGAGGAAATCATCGGGCCAAAGTCTTTGTCCTAAGCGTTGACCAGTACAGGGAAAATGGAAAGTCAACCCTCTTCCCAATCAATGCGGCCATAAAATCGAGCACACCAAATTGCAATTTTCATCATCTTCACCGGCCAACTCCCATTATTTCTTCCGCCATGGCCGCCAGATCCGCCGCCGTTTCACTCGCCCGTTGCCTACTGTCAATTTTAATCATCAATTCCGGGAAATTAATCAGCGCCGGGTGCGCACCGGCCGGCAAAATGACGTGCAACGGCGTGACCAAGGCCACATACAACTGCTCTCCCCCGACGACCTCCGCGACGCCCGCCGTTCTGACCCTCAACGACTTCAGCAAGGGCGGGGACGGGGGCGGCGCGTCGGAATGCGACGGGAGGTGGCACAACAATAGCTTCCGGATGGTGGCGCTGTCGACGGGATGGTACGACGGAGGGCGGCGGTGCGGGAGGATCGTGCGGGTCACGAGGGGGGACGGGCGGAGGAGCACGACGGCGAAGGTGGTGGACGAGTGCGACTCGATGATGGGGTGCGATGCGGAGCACGCGGGGCAGATGCCGTGTGACAATAACATCGTGGACGGGTCGAAGGCGGTGTGGGAAGCTCTGGAGTTAGATCAGGACTTGGGTACGGTCCCTGTTACTTGGACCATGGCCTAAATGTGCATTTCCTTATTTGCCCTATCAAATTTTATCTACTAACCACTTGTTTTTATTTGATCTTGTTTTAACTTTTTACTCCTTTGATAAAAAAAAATACTCTCTCCCTTCGTCCTAATTTGTTTATTGCATTTCGAAGAACATGTAAAACATCAATTGTTTTAAAATTATTTTATTTATAAATTGATAGAGAAGTTAAAAAGTATAAATTGCATCGTTTAAAAGTACGGATCAAAAATTCTACAAAACAAGATGCAACAATAATATTTTATTTCATCTTATCAAATGCTCACTGAAAATGAATAAATAAATTAAAGTTATTGAGATGTCGAAATAGCAATTGTGACATTCTTTTTGGAACGATAAGAGTAGTTTTGATGGTGTAAATTTGACCGGGTAGGTTTGGTCGGGTCTGACCTGGTCAAACGAACTCTACCGGTAAGAAAATACACAAGAAAGTAAGGACACCGGAAAAGTGACCTAGACCAAGAAAAAATTCATGTGCTTGAATTTATATTTCTTACTTTGACTCAAGAGTGTACAAATTTGTGTGAAAAGTAGTGAGTGTCTATTCCTCCCTCTATTACAAATTTACAATCTATTTATATAGAGTGGAGGAGGTTAAGTAAGGAAACTAGTTGCTAGTCAGGTGTGGGCCTAGCGTCAATCAACACCCATACATGGAAACAATCCTTTGACTCGACGCTCATCAATTTGGTCATTGATGAGCTTCAATCTTGCCATCGCTCAAGCCATTCATGATGGAGTGGAATCTTTATTGCGCAATTAACTCTTGAAGATGGCGGGATGGAGTAGCTGCATCACGTATGTTACCGGATCACGCCATTCCCATCCCCTTCAAAAACATGATCACCTTTCGGGAAGACCTGACTGGTCATTTCCCCCAAGTGCTCCTGCGTCTTCCCAGACACTATCGATTCTTGATCGGTCATAATCTAATCCGTCACTTTTCATGTTCGGACCGGATACTTGTTATACCTATCAAGTTGGATATTAGTTATACCACTAGTTACTTTGATTTAAATAATATTGTTCATGTTTTTAATTAATTGCACTTCTCTAGTCATTCAAAGACTTTTATTTATTTATATATTTTTATTGATTATTTGATAAAATAAAGGGTTAAATATATTTTTAGTTACTATCTACTATTTTTATTATTATTATATTTCAAATAAAATATATTATTTAATTGTATGTGACATTATTATAGTAATTATTATTTAATTGTATGTAACATTGACTTAAATCCTAACATAATAGTAATTTTGTTACGTGTTAGTAATTACTCCCTCCATCCAAAATACCCCTCCACCCTACGTACCCCACGTCCCCACCCAATACCTAGACTGGCCCAAATTTCTGCTGCCCAACCCCATCATTCCAGAACTGGCTAGAGCAAAATTCCAGCGACTCAAATTGAGAGAATTTTTAGTCAGAGAAATTCTGGCGGCCCATATCAACATTCTGTTCCTGCACTAATGTGGAAGAATTGAAGAGATCGGAAGAAGGTGAAAAAGTTTTTAAGATGAAGAAGACTTGAAGAAGTAGATGAGAAAAGCCTTCGTCTGGCCTCTTTCACAGATCTGAGTCGAACTTCTCAGATCTCATGAAGATATGAACGATTTGTTGACCATTGAGTCATAGGGTTGTGCAATACAAAGATGGCAAGAAAGAAGAAAAGAAAGACGAAGAGATGAAGGTGTATTGGGCAGTTGGACTAAACCAGAAGGGGGAGGAAGAGGAAAGAAAAGAAGAAGAAGAAGAAGAAGAAATGTAACACCCTAATTCGTCCAGGTCCCCTTTCAGACTAAAGTATTAACTTAGTATTCGTAAAAATTTAAAACATTTCAAACACTTTTATTTATCACAATAATATTTTTCATAATATAAAGAGTACGGAGTTTTCAACATTGCGGAAGCTTAACAAATCATAATAAAAAACATAATTTATTTATGTGCTTGAATTCAAAATCATCACATCTATCCCGACTATCTCGCCTCCATCCGCCTCCAGGATCACGTCACATCATTCATTCTATTAACCTGTGTGTAACAAATAAAATACACTACACGGTCAGTGGTAAAGCGGAGTAAGCATATCTAATGCGTCGAACATCCATATAAACTGAATCTCAATTTATAATCAAATCATTTGATATCATGCACATAATGTCTAGTTTAGATATTCAATAAACAATATTCAGTATTCATCATTCATTAATCCACATTCAACATTCATATTCATCTTTCATATTCAATATTCATCATACATATTCAACATTCATAGTGTCAACAATGCTCATAAACTATTCTTAGTCGAAGGCTAATTTAATTCTTAAACTAATTCTAGTTTATGATATTCCTAACCAACCCTTAAGCTAGGCCTAGTTCAAGATATAAATTTTCAAAAGAGGTTTTCAAAATCTTAAACTTACCTTCGCTTAAGGTCAACCAGAAACTGACAGCATAGTGTTCATTGTTGGGTTGGGTGGTACCCCCAAACGAGTAGATACTCAAGTTTGGTTCTTGGATCTCGTACGTACGTTTTAACCCTATCCACCAGGCATCATACCCGCAAGACCTAACTTAAATGGGTATATCTTAGAGTTTTTTCTAGATACCTTCAAAATCAACATCACTATGGTATATCTTAGAGTTATTATAGATACCATTGGAATCAATATCAATTAACTAAAATGGTTATTTGGGTATATTTTAGAGTTATTCTAGATAGCCTTCAGATCATCATTAATATGGGTATATCTTAGAGTTATTATAGATACCCTTAACAATACACATTATTTTCATAATCATCAATATATTCATTTTTAGTCATGATTCGATCATTCACAATAATCATTTTAATCAGTAGGCTCATCAATCATAATCATCCATAATAATCATTTATCAAAATCATCAATAAACATCATATTCATAGCAATAGCAATTAGCGGTCTAGCTTTGAGTGTTAACACCCTAGCTTACCGTCATGCATCACATAAGGTCTTTTTAGTTGTCAAAACATCATTTTTATTGTGAAAAATCATCTTTATAATGATCATAATCAATTGGTATCAAAAATAGGATTTTAGAGCTCAAAAATAACATTTTCAGAAATATTTTCGAAGCAGAATTTTAGGGAATCAATCCAAACTAGGATAAACAACTCCGATGGGATCGATCCACCTCATTGGATCGATCCAGCCTGTGTATTTTTTGTCATTGTTCATCTTCTTCTTCGTTTCGGGTCCAATTTCGAAAATACCATTTTTAGTTACCGAACTTCCATTAAACTATATAGAAATATTATCCAAGGTTCATATATCATTTTAGTATCATTAATTCACAGTTTTAACAACAATTTCATAGTTTATGATTCTTAGTTCTTCAAGCATGTCAAACACAAAACTCAACCAAACGACCATTTATGAACGTAGAAACGATCTATACGAACATTCCAGTCACTAGATATATCTATGGGCTTACCTTAAAGCTAAACAATGATTCCGGCGATTGAACGACGAAACTCTTTGCGAACACCACGGCTTGCTCCAGCGACTTCACACCAAATTGACAGCACCACAACACTATTCACACTTAGAGCTCTCTTGTAACGCCCTGAAACCCGGAGTTGGGGTATTACATCTCTTATAGAAGAAGAATGGTGAAGAAATGAGTTCTTTATATAGGAAAAGAGAAGAGAAGAAGATAGGAAGATGAGTTGCTGCTGCGTAGGATTCCCATTTCACGATCTTCGTTTGGCGATAGTGCGACTTAAGGAGATTCAGCATGTTACTCCCTGATTGGGACTAATTTGGTCCCAGTCAGGATACACCTTTTAGTCCAAATTTCTCCGAATTGAAATCCGTTTGCACCATTACAATCGTACAATTAAACTCTATGCAACGATATATTTTTTATATTTATTTGTAATACTTTTTTCGACATCATATTTTTGGATATTTGACTTTGACAAAGTTAAAATTGATTTAATTTACCTTTATCCAAAAGAGTTCTTTCATTTAATTGGCTCAAAGCCTAACAACAATTTATTTTAATCAAACAATTTGTTTATTTGAATAACAATTCAATATAACTTTTAGGGTATATTTTGGGGCGTTACAAGAAAAGAAAGAAAAAATGGGTCGGAGGACCAAATCGAAATGGGAGGAAGAAGAAGAACAAGAAGAAAAAGAAAAGAAAAATTAGAAGGTGATTAAAGATAAGGAGGGATAGTTAAGTCATTTTAATAAAAAAAGTTACCAAAAACGAAATGATAAGATTATTTGTAGATGGAACAAAAAAAGAAAATAAGAAGATAGTTAAAGTTGGACGAAGGAGGTACTTTTTAATCTTACACAAATATTAACTTTATTTTTAAAAACTTTCTGGTCTAATCTTATTTGATCCGATTTAAATAATATCAAAGTTTTGTTGACTAAAAGGTAATAAGTTTGAATACCACCGTCACTCTGTAAAAAAATTAAATTTCACATGCATGGTTCGAGCAAAAACAAATATACTCTGCACGTCATGACGTGTTAGTTAGAGTATAAAAAAGAACCTTTTTGGACCTAAATCAGAAGCTTGTACTTTTTGTTGAGTGAGTTTCTTGATATATATCTGATCATCTAAATAGATCCAATCTGATTTGATCTAATTTTAAAAAAATAAATTACAAGTAAAAAAATTATCCAAAATGTTGCCTTGTTAAGGTACTAATTAAGTAATTGCTTATGGGCCTGTTTGGGAATAGCGTTAGAAATTAGCGTTAGCGTTTTCAAAAGGTTATCTACGGACAGCGTTTAGCGTTAGCGTTTTCAAATTAATCTGCACCATTAAAATTTTATCCAAAACGCTAACGCTAATCTCTAACGTTATTCACAAACAGGCCCTATAACTTTCCTCATTTAAAGTAATGTGGACTTTAGGAGAAGTTTAGGTCCACCATAACAATTACGGAGTACGTTTAAAGGGTGAGAAAAGTCAGTAAACACAATTAGGTAACTAACTCTGGCCATACCAGTTATCCTAACTTTATCAAATATTCCATCCGTCCCTAAATATTTGGCACATTTATATTCCCGAGGCAAAATATCAAGTTTTTTTCATTCATTTTATTTACATATTGGTAAAGAAATAAAAAATAAAATTTACATATAAAAAAACTACATGAAAGGTTCTTCGAAATAAGAGGTGTCTACAATATTTTATTTTATCAAATAACTAATGAAAACGTAGAAATAAACAAAAGTTCACGCGACTGCTGAAAAAACAAATGTTGCAAATAATTTGGGAGGGAGGGAGTAGCTCTCTACGGTTTCTCCGATAATACTGCCGAAAGCATGCAAAATAGTGTCCCTCCTACACACACAAAACTTGTTTTTTCTTTTAAGAAAACATAATCCTGATGATGAATATATTCATAAAACATTTTGTATCAAAAAATAATATATTCATAACGCACTTTTCATTGAAGTTCTGAAAATGTTTTTCATCGTTATATTTACTTTCGTTGTTACATTAGCAATAACAACAAAATAATCGCAATTCACAATTTCAAATCACAATTTTATTGAAGTTTTGAGTAAAAATGCATTGAAAATCAAAATTTAAATGTTACTCTTGAATTATAATTTGCTCCTCTTTGAGATTATGAACAAATATATTTTGTTCCTCTTTGAAATCATGAATTGTTTTAAAAAGATTTACCTCATTTCACCACAATTTGTACGGAGTATAACCATTTGAATCGGTTATTAGGTTTAACTGATGCAAATGATGAGCGATACAGGAATTTTTTTCATTTAAATCGTTTGTTTATCTGACCGATGCAAATGGGGTGATTATTTGGTCGTTTTTGTAGTAGTGATTCTAGATTGAGTAAGTTCTATAATTGATCTTTTATAATTAAGATGAAATTTTTTCTATTTAGTCATCTATTATTAAATATTACAGAATATCTCGGTGATCCTTCTTTTATGTGTATCTTTTCACAAATAGCTTTTTCTTGATATTTCATCATGTATGTGTGAATTTGAGAGCTAAAAGTGTAATTTCACAATGATCATATATCTTTCTTGTCATACACAATTTCAGAGGCCGCTTCTGATGCGTTGCTTGTGAATTCTAGTCGTCCTCTACTACAGTCATACTCTATGGATGTGTTCTTTCGTCGGAATCTTAGTCCACATTCATAGTTATTATTATTGTACGTGGCGACATCAGAATACGTCATTAGGCATAAGGTTGATGTCAAATTACATTTTTTGCTCTCAAGTTAAAGGTCAAAAATGGACTATTTGTAGAAAGGTATCCACAAAAGGACCACGAGGGTAATATTTATTAATAGATGACTAAATATGGAAAACCTCTTCTTATAAAGAGTATATATTTAGAAAATTTACTCTTCTGGATTATACAGATAATGAGTTTAATTACATGTGTTTCACGACATTCACGCACAAACTCCCTACCTCTCACAAACTCAAACATTTGAATAAAAAAAGGTAGAACACCCACCCTGAGCATCCCCACACTCCAGCCTGACAAGATTGTGAGAAGGGGTCAATCATGGTATAATCGATCTCAACCTGATCTTTAGAGAAACTACCACGTGTCTGGTACGCACAAAGAACTATCACAAACATCTGAATTCATGTTTATAAGGATGGAAGTGTGTGAAGCATTTTTGTGCGTTAAACTTTCACTCTCAAGTCTCAACATAATCACTGAAAACAAAAACAATTAGTAAACCCACTCCAACTGTGAGTTGTGACCAAACACCGGCCATAACCTTTTAAAAGGGATATGTATCCGTCTCTACCGTGTAACGTAAAACTAGTGCAAAAATCATGCAAAATAATGGTCCATTCCACGTTATTGACAATATATATCGTGAACAATATATTCGTAACGTAATTCTCACCTCTAGCTGATAGAATCTTGAAGTCAAAATGTATACAAATTCAAATGTTACGTTTAATCATGTGTTAGAATATAAAAATATATTAGTAGAGTATAAATACACTTCCTCGCTACAACTACAAACTTGAGTTTTGGTTAAGTTTTTCTTGACAAGATATCAAAATCTTGTTGACTAAGAAGTCACGGGTTGGAAACTCTGTGCCACACAGTTAAAAGAAACTAAGATTTCTCGTGCAAGACTCGAAATACAAGTCTGCACGTGAGAGGGCGTGTCAGAATAAAAAGACATACTTCCTTCATTTGAAATAAGTCGTTTATTTTGGTTTACAACATTTGGTTGAAGTTAGAAAGTAAATGAAATGTTACTTTGTGAATATTAAAGAGGAAACTTAATTTGTGACGAAAAAAGTAAAATATAATATAAAACTTTTCATATGCCACAGTAACAAGTTTGTGACTTTGAGTGAGTTGGTCCCTTAACCGCTTGCAACCAAAAACATTGTATTGTATGCAGCCTGTGTTATAATATAAATTTAAGAGTAAATTCCATAAAAGGTCCCCAATTATAGGTCGATTTACATATTTAGTCCCTACATATCAAAAATTACTAATTTAGTCCCCAATTATTATATTCATTTCCACAAATGGTTCTTTGTTAACATTTTCGTTAAAAACGTGGATAAAATTGTAAATTTGCACTTTTTTCTCCCATTAATTAAGCTTCCTCCCTCTCCTCGCACTCTTTTCTCAAACCCGTCGCTGAGTTTGAAGCTTTGAACCCAAAACCAGAATCTTCACTCTTCTCTCAATTGTTTGTTTAACTGGTAAATACCAAATTCGAAACCAGTAACCTTCATGGATGAGTCTTAATGTTTATTTCTTTGCAATTTCTTGAGACTAACTGATAAAACTCATCCATAAAGCTTATTGGTTTTGATTTTAGGTTCCACTAGGAAGACTAATAATTGAGAGAGGAATGATCATTTCAGTTTTGGATTTAGAGCTTTAAACTCAGCGACGAGTTTTGGAAAGAGTACGAGAGTAGGAAGGAAGATTAATTGAGGAGAGTGAGAAGTATGAATATACAATTTTATCCATGGTCTTAACAAAAACGTTAACAAAGGACCATTCGTGAAAAATGATATAATAATTGGGGACTAAATTAGTAATATTTGATATGTAGGGACTAAATATGTAAAACGACCTATAACTGGGGACCTTTTATGAAATTTACTCTAAATTTAATATAATTGGATTCATCTTAGGATCTAGTTTTGATGTATCAAATTTTTAAAACATTTCTTTAATCAGATTATATTTAATTTATGGTCAAAGCATGTAACTATTCGACTAAAAAAATGAAAATGAGTAATGTTTTGTGGGACGGAGGGAGTATATAATTTACTACGGTACTTTTTAAATATATAATTTTATTTTTATATAAATTTATAAATAAAATTATTTTTAGAATCATAGCCTTATAAAAATTGGGCGGGGTTCTAGAGCCACTCAAAAAGAGTGGCTACGGAAGCCACTCACCCAATTGGGACACGTGCGGTGCTCTGTTCGCAAAATTGATAGTTTTTACCCCTCTAAACCCCCTGGTAAAATCCCTCACCCGGTCCCGACCCCAACTCACCTCTCTAACAACGTCAATTGCGGGGTGCAAATTTAGTTGACTTTGGAGTCATAAATTTTGACTCCAATGTCAACTAATCTTGCACCCCGCAATTGACGTGGTTAGGGGGATGAGTTGGGGTCGGGACCAAGTGAGGGAATTTATCAGAGGATTAAGAGAGTAGAAACTATCAATTTTATGAATGGAGGACTATAAGTATTCAAATTAAGCGAGTGACTTTCCTAGCCACACTTTTCGAAGGGCTCTAGAAGAAAAATGTTAGGGGTACACCAAAGGTGTACCCCATTTGTCCCCCACCCCCTCCATTACCACAAAAATGGGCAAAAATTTTAAAAAAAATTAAATAAATAAAAAGTAGATAAAAATGAATGGTGGAGAAGGGGGTGGGGGACAAATGGGGTACACATTTGGTGTACCCCTAGCATGGCTCGCTCTAGAACCCCGATAACAATAGGATAATGCTACTTACACCCCAAAGTTACCCCATTTTGTACCCCAACATAAAAGACCCCCCCACCCTACACGTGCAATCAACCCCCACCCCACATGTGCAAGTAATCCCCCACCAAATTTACTCTGCCTCTCAACCTTCTTTCTCCTCGGTTTCTAATTTCCTCCTCGCCGTCTTCACACTCGTCTCTGCCGCCGGTGGTCCGTGTCCTCCTCACACCTACCTTCGTCTCTCCCGTCCTGGTCTGTGTCCTCCTCGCCTCTGCCCCCTGGTCTGTGTCCTCCTCGTCTTCTGATTGTCATTCACAGCAATCCATCTCTGTCGTCATCACAAGCCCACTCTTTGCCCTCTTCACACGCCCCCTCTCTGCCGCCGGTGGTTCGCCAACAAGGTAATTGCTCCTCCTTTTGCAATTGCACCTCTTTTCCCAAAATTGTTTAGAAACCCTAAATGCAAAGCTAGTGTAATATTCTCTTAAGTTTGGTGTGTTTTTCTCTTAAGTTTACTGCAATTTTTTTTGTCAAAATATACCTTGATGTATAATCATTTTAGTGGATGCCTGGGCAAAGCTGTACAGCAGCTTCACACCTACATTTCTGCCCAAATGCCTGAGTAATGGTCCATTTCCTACCCAATTGAGTATGTGGCCATGTTAATATATTCATTAAAAAATTGATTTTTGCGCACTCAATTTTATGTTGTTTATACATTCATGTCGTTCAATGACTACCCAAAATGACAGTGAAGGCCAAATTTTTTTCAAAAAAAACCTTGAAGTATAATCATTTTAGTGAATGTCTGGGCAAAGCTGTAGAACAGCTTCACACCTACATTTCTGCCCAAATGCCTGAGTAATGGTCCATTTCCTACCCAATTGAGTATGTGGCCATGTTAATATATTCTTTGATTAGATAAGGTTTATTTTCTACCCATTATCGTTATCTTTATTTTCAGTCATATGTACTTGCAAGCTTTATTAGATAAGGTTTCACTTATAACCATGGCGCTTCTTACTTTGACAATAGCCTGTGGCCCGGGAAACTAGGCTACGGAAGAAATCTAGGTACTGTCTAAGCCCCTACATCAATCTAACAATGGCTATGAAGGTCAAAGTACACCCCAATCCTGTAGCCATTCAAGTCACCCCTAGTGAATGGGAACGGTTCAAATGTTGGGTTGAAGAAGAAGAGGACACAAATCCAAAAAACTCAGCCTGCAGTGTCAATTTGTTCATGAGGTTGCCCGTTATTTCTTCAGGACTTTGTTGGCCAATGATTCGTGGTTAAGTAGTGATGTAAGTTTTCTAAAAATACAAGCTTATGCATTACATCAATGCATTACTGAGTGTCTTTTGATCTAATTTTTTTCCTTTCCTATTAGCATGTTCAAACCGTTGTAGAGTTATTAATGTCTAGGGTTGAGCTCATTGGAGTGCGAGGCCGATGTTTATATGGTCCAATGTTCACGATAATTATTTCCAAAAAAATTACATATTTAGTTTACACGATAAGCCCTAATATTTTTTTATAGTATCATCTCACCCTGAAAAGTACTTTGGACCATTCCTAAAATAACGAAATCCTATTTGTTTAAGAAAAAAATAGTCATATAAGGGGGTTTTTACATGCTATGTTCAATACACTTACACTTACTGTCCGTGTGCTATTGTTTCTCTTCAATACACCAACCCTAATAGTCTGTGTCCTACTCATCCTTTCATATAATATTTAACTGATACTAACATTTGTGTCAATGGAGTTCAAATACAATGCTAACATTTTAACTGATACACCTAACATTTTTTGTTTGAAATGTAGGTTTCTGTACAATGGCGTTGCAAATGGTAAATGCAGACCACTTCCAAGCACAGTATACATGCTATTCCGAGCTTCAGAAATCAGTTGACATCATCAAAAAGAAACTCACACCTTCAGACCTGGATCGATTCAAGGAGTCCCTTTTCGGCCATCTACTTGAGTCCCCTCCATTGCAATTTTCGGGCCAAATCATCCATATGTTTTCAGTTTTGTTTTGCACCAGCAATTTATGTCTGTGCAAAGAGGCAGGATGTATATTTACATCATTTATGAGTGGTGAAGACAAAATATTACAGAGTACTACGTATTACTTACCAAAAAGTGTGTGAGCAAATGCATAATAAAAACTAAACAAGAAATGTAGCATTGCTCCAGTTAATGGTCAAGTTATATGACAAGACCAGTAGACCGTATACACAACCATAGCCTGAGATCAAGACTTGGGTAAGTGAGGTCATACAAACCATTTTTTCCCGGCCATTCCCACGTGTTGGTGTTTTTAAGTGAAACAATAGCACACGGACAATAAGCGTTGGTGTATTGAACAGAATAAATAAACCCCTTATATTTGAACTCCGATCCATTGCAAAAAAAAAGTTAGAATGAATTAAATATTATATTAAAGGATGAATAGGACACAGACATGTAGTGTTGGTGTATTGAAGAGAAACAATAGCACACGGACAGTAAGTGTAGGTGTATTCGACAGATTAAAAAACCCCTTAAATGACTATTTTTAAAAACTAATGCAAATAGGATTTTGTTATGTTAGGATTATATTTGAATTAAATGATGAGTACGACACAGACATTTAGTGTTGGTGTATTGAATAGAACCAATAGCACACGAACAGTAAGTGTTGGTGTATTGAACAGAATCCTTTACATAAACATATGAAGTGTTGGTGGTGTATTTAACAAAAGCAGTACCACACAGGCACTGAGTGTTCGTGTATTGAAGCAAAACATACCCACTTCCAGCTTGAGATTAACTAATGCTGTTTTTAACAAAACAAGATGTCACAACCAGTAACACTACAAAACATATCCACTTCCACCCTGACATAGTGTTCAACTTGCCCATAAAATAAGTTTATTTACATCATGTGTAAGTGGTGAATACAAAATATTACATAGTGCAACTTGCCCATAAACACTCATAGTCTAAGATCTAGATTGGTGCATGTTAAGTAGTACACATCATTTTCCTCGGGCCATTTCCATAGTTGCATGTTTTGCCTTACAGTAACACCTACATCGGTGTGGATGCTTGTCTTTCTTGTAACACGGTTTCCCCAATTATTCTTGAGTGCCTTTAGTTGTCAAGTTCTTTTTTCCAAAGCTTGTCTATATGCCTATCCAGAACAAATAAAAGTGACATTCCCTAATATGTCAATGTATGCAATGATAATAATGTCACACAAGCATAATCTAGAAGTGTGAAATCAAATAGGCATCAAATAGGCACTAATTATAGGTGCATAGAAGACATCTAAATACACCCAACAAAAATGAAGTGTAGAAAATAATTGTAATCATAAGTGCCTAACATGGATCAAAAGGTTTCTAATACACATGACAAATGGCTAATGGTAACTTCAAAGGAGCATTATGTGTGGGTGCAAACCTCTGCCGCCATATATGCACAGGCATAAACTGTTTGTGCAAAACGAGTTCAAAAAAGCAGAAATTGGTAGCAAAGTCTATACCTGCGACTCTGGATCAATTAATGTCCCACAATTTCTATGAAATAAACGACAAACATATACACATTTTAATTTTGAAAGCCCGTATTTAAACAAAATCCTACAAAATTATTTCCCAAATCTAGGAAAAATAACTTGCAATTCGAGGTGGTTCACACTCAGTGACCATATGAACAAATGTTTTGATTAAGGGAAGGAGAACTCTAAACATGAAGAAAGAAAAATTGAAATTGAAATTAAAATCGAAATTCCAATCAAGCACGATAATTTGAGCATTAGAGTTACCGAGAATTGAAAATGCAAAGCTGGCGGCCGGAGGAGTGTGAGGCGCGCTGGATTAGAATCTGAAGAGAGAGCCAGAGCCAGATATAATCGGCGCTGGGTTAGAATTGCCGATGCTCTTCTCGATGCACAGGAGGAGCAGGGCCTATCTAAATTCGGCTACTTGGCGTCTCCACTGCTTCACCCACAACGGCCACAAACGATGGTGGCGCAAGGGTTGTGCTCCGGTGGGAGAAAACAAAAACAGAGAACTTGTAGAGAGAGAGAGGAAGGGGGGGGGAGAAGAGTGGGTTGGAAAGAGAGATGGACCTGTACGTATGGTTGGGTGGGGGTATATGGGGTACACCACTGCGGTACAAAGTGGTATACCCATAGTGCCATTGAAATTTACAGGCGGATGGAAGAGTGTAATTTATTTATGGATGAGAAAAGTAGGAGAGATAGGCAAAGTCATAGCTTAATGAAAGTCTAGTAATTTACGGAGTATTCATTTACAAAGTCCAATCCTATCTCAAACGTACCCACAAAAACAGGTCAAATTGTTCCCGAAGAAAATCTCAAGAATTGCATGAATTGTCGCACCAGTTTTTTCCCTACTCTTTCCAAACGCGCCACTATAATTTCCCTTCAATTCCCGATTTCGCCCCTCCCCCCACCAATTATAAAAACACTCTCTTTCTCATCAATGCGGGTTGGGTAGCCCGTTGCTCTTCAATGAACCATTAACCACACCAGACATCGGTTTCGAGAAATTAGCCATTTATCCCAACGGACCCCTCTAATTGAAAACGACCCCAATTTCTTCATCAGAAGAAGAACAAGATCTGATTTTTTGTATTGAGACAACAAATGTTGTTCGAGATCTGAAGAATTTGCAGAGCTTTTGAGGAAGAAGGAAAGAAAAGAATGGGGAGCAAATGGAGGAAGGCGAAGATGGCTCTCGGATTGAATATGTGTCTCTACGTTCCCAAAACGCGAGAAGAAGAAGAAGAGCCTGCTACAGCTCCGCCTCCCTCCGCCGCCAGGGTTTCCGATGCGGTTTCGCTCTCACCCGACCCGACCCAGACCTCCGATTCCCGGGTCTCCATGCCCACCACCCCTACCCCCTCCTCCTCCGGCCTCCGTTTGTCCAAACACGGCGCTAAATCTTCTAAGGTCAGTTTTTTTTCCTTCCCTGTAATTAATATACAAGTATTGGATTTGATTTTTTTGGCATAAGAATTATTGTTTATTAAATATCTTCTCTGGTTCAATGATTTATTAGAATCCTTGGATAGAATTTCTTGTGTAAAAATGTGATCTTTATCTTAATGATGAATCTACATTGATAGATTCTAAAGGGTGAGATGTTTTTTTTTAATTCTTTATTTGCTTTTAAGATGATATGATATATACACATACTGTACCCTTTGAATTATCAATTCCCTTTAGAGAAAGATGATCTTTTACTCCCATTGATCTCTTGCATCTCTGTCACGTGGGGTAGGCTTTGCCCCCAACCCACTCCTCAGGCTGTCGTCGGTGGGTGGGTGGTGGTAGGTGTAGTATATGGTGGTGATCCTCTTAGATTTACTTACTCCTTCAGTCCCGCTTGAAATTTTAACATTTAGAGCAAATTGTCCATTTGTACTAAAGGTTGGAAATTCATAGCGGAACTGAGGAGTAAATACTTTTAAAGAGTAGTGTAGTTGTTTCCGGGTTGGCGAATTGTGAATAATGACACGAGATTGAGCCGGGTGGTAGAGTGTGGGGGTAGACTCTTTGTGAGTACAAGAAAACAATTTGCCAATCGGGAAACAACTGCACTACATTTTGAAGATTTACTCTTTTACGTCACGTTGGGAGTTTCCAACCTTTAGTGCAAATGGACAATTTACCTAATAGGTCGTCGAGTCTCCATAATTTACCGCTCAACAATTTTTGAATCACACACACTTATGTACCCCTTTTGTCCCTAAATCAAAGATGAAAAGTAAAAAGTAAAAAAATGTTGAAGAGTGAAACTTACGGTTTGACTTGACAAAATTTAAGAAAATTGTTGAAAAGTGAAAAATGTTTAGAGGAGAGAAAAATGTTGTAAACCACATAATGCTTTCCTTTTTTAGGAATAAAAAACATTAGAAATCAATTTTGGGACATACGAAAAAGAAAAGTAGGAATTTTTTTTGGGGACGGGGGAGTATATAAAAGATTGAAATATGTTGTGATTAAAGTAAGGGGTCAAGGACTATTGTGGTCCACTGGCCTTATTGTAAAAAGGAAACAGCAGTGTTTATCTTTTGGTTTTCTTTTTTTTCTCTTGCTTCCATTACTTGGAGGGGAAAGTGCTTCTCCTGGTCAGCAATATCAAAAATACACAAGACAATGCTCATTTGGCCATCCCATCTCTCCTTTTCATGATAATATGCCAAGAAAAAAGCATGTGGAATGTTGAATGAGAGCTTTCCTTGGTAGACTTCTTCTGTTCACTAAAGCAAAAAATGGGTAATTGAAATTTTAAAAAAAAGTTATGATTTTTTTACTTCTTGAAAGGCTGTAACTTTTTTTTCCCCTCTTGTATTGTGGTAATTTTACAGAGGACGTGTGCAATATGCTTGAAAAGTATGAAACCAGGGCAAGGGCATGCCATTTTCACTGCAGAGTGCTCTCACTCCTTCCATTTCCAGTGCATAACCTCCAATGTGAGGCACGGAAACCAGATCTGCCCGGTTTGCAGAGCGAAATGGAAAGAGATCCCTTTCCAGACCTCTCCCCAGCCGGAGATTTCCCTTGAAAGAGCGAGGACCAATCCTCCTCGGTCCTATTGGCCTCATTATGATGCTCTGCTCTCGTCACTCAGGCGTTCGTCTTCCCATCTTGAATCATCAATTGCACGCAATTCGTCGCCTCTCCCTCTCGTGGACCCGCCAAGCGTGTTTGATGATGATGAATTTGTCGACCCGGAACCGTTATTGCATGCTGATGTAGCGAGTGCGCCTCCTCATTCTATGGGCATGTTAGGTGTCACGACATATCCGGAGATACCTGACGTTTCCCAATCGGCGGTTCATAAGGATTTTGCTGTTCTGATTCATCTCAAAGCCCCGCGGGCCGAAGGGCACCCGAATTCCCAGGGCGACTGTCTGGTGACTCGGAATTCCCGGGCCCCAGTTGATCTCGTTACTGTTCTTGACGTTAGCGGCAGCATGGCGGGCACCAAGCTCGCTCTGTTGAAACGTGCGATGGGGTTCGTGATCCAACACCTCGGCCCGTCTGATAGGCTCTCGGTCATTGCGTTCTCCTCTTCCGCCCGACGCCTCTTTCCTCTCCTCAAGATGACCGATTCAGGCAGACGTGAAGCGTTACAAGCCGTGAACTCCCTCACTTGCAACGGCGGGACCAACATTGCCGATGCCCTAATGAAGGGCGCCCAGGTCATGACGAACCGAAGGTCAAAGAACCCAGTCAACAGTATAATACTTCTCTCTGACGGGCAGGATACCTACACCCTTAACAACCTCTACGGAACCAATTCTGATACGGGTTACCAGTCTTTACTCCCGGCCTCGATGCGACGCGGATCAGGCGCTCTTCACATTCCGGTCCACACGTTTGGGTTCGGGTCCGACCACGACGCCATTGCCATGCACTCCATCTCGGAAAGTTCCGGAGGAACGTTTTCTTTCATAGAAGCGGAAGGAGTGATCCAAGATGCCTTTGCCCAATGCATCGGCGGGCTTCTGAGCGTCGTGGTTCAGGATCTCCAGATGGAAGTCGAATGCGAGGACCCCACGTTGGAACTCCGGTCGATAATATCCGGAAGCTACAAAAATTCATTGAAACATAACAGAAGGGGAGGCATTATAGAGGTCGGCGATTTGTACGCCGAAGAGGAAAGGGATTTCCTGGTAACGTTAGACATACCCGTCGCGAGGAAGGACGCGATGAACCTCTTGAGGATGAAGTGCATTTACAAGGACCCGGTTTCAAAGAACGCGGTGACAATGGACGAGGCTTCCTTCGTCACAATCGGGCGGCCGATCTTGGCGGAACAAAAGGAGGTGTCGATGGAGGTGGATAAGCAACGGAACCGACTTCGGGCTGCGGAAGCCATGGCGGCTGCCAAGGCAGCGGCAGATCGCGGGGAGTTGGCCGTGGCGGTGGGGGTAGTGGAGCACGCGAGAAAACAGCTGGCGGAGACGGCATCTGCCCGGGCAGGGGACTGGCTGTGCGTCGGGTTGGATGCAGAGCTTAGGGAAATGCAACTGAGGATGGCGAACCGCCCGACATACGAAGCGTCGGGCAGGGCTTACGTGTTGTCGGGGTTGAGTTCGCACTCGTGGCAGAGGGCGACAGCGAGAGGCGATTCCACGGAGAGCACCAGTCTTGTGTTGGCTTACAAAACGCCGTATATGGTTCAAATGATCAACCGGTCACAGAATATGGCTTCCGGCAGTTCACAACCGTCGCTCCGGCAGGCGCGTTCGTTTCCTTCGCCGCCTCGACCGAGGTGATGATGATCCCATGGTGCCCCTCTCGTGGTAGCTCACGTTGTTTCATTGCTTTAAGAAACTTTTCATTAATCCATTTTTTTTTTTGTGTTTTGTTTTGAATCCCTTCTTCATAAGCAGAATTTTGGGGTTTCTATGGGATAGATAAGTGGGGGCAAGAGAATTTAAGAGCTCTTTGTACATACAGAGATAAATAATCTGCCTTTTTTTTTCTTTTAAATTGAGGAGTTTTGGGTAGCGCTTTGGGCAAATGGTGAAATACTCCCTAGTTCAATTCTTTCCAGCAAGCATTGTTCAGTTTGTGATTTAAGGAGGCCCATTTTTATTACATATCTAAAAAGAATGTCTCTCTCTCACACACACACAAACACACACTCTCCATTCTAAAATTAATTTTTCATTTGACTCTTTTACGAATTTTATTGCAATATTTTGACCATTAATATATTTATTTATATATAAATATATATTACAAAAATAAAATATTTCAAAAGTATGTTTCAAAATGAATCTATTGATATCCAATTTAAATAAAAAAAAGTTAATATATTTTTTCATAATATGCGATTAAAAATCAAAAAATTTGATCACAAAATTTCAAACCGGGAAATTAATGTTAAAGTACGTAGAGTATATATATCATCGGTCATGGGCATTTTTGCCCTTCGCAATGTCTAGTATATTTCCTCATACTGTGTCATTGGTGGGCGTTGTGTAGTTTGCAAGTGGAAGTCCGAGGGATAATACTCAAGTTAGGTTCCAATAAATTGCGCTGGGAAACAATTATGTTAAATATATGAGCTCTAAAAGTACTATGTGGATGAGACTCATCCTTTAGCGCCATACCCAATCCATCACCCTCCCAAATTTGTTTTGAAATAAGTTGTTTTAATTAAATTTTAATCGGAGAATTGTGGTGCAATTTAGAAATTAAATTTATGTTTTTAAAAGTTACATAAAAAAAACTCTACGAAAAGAGATATGACATCACTATATTATTTTATCAAATAAGTATCAAATATATTTATAGATAGTGAATAAAATTTGATTTTGTGAAGAGTAAACATCAGCTTTAATTTGGAATTGAGTAAGTAAAAAAGAAATCACCCTACGTAGCACTCTAACTCATATAATACTACGCATTTAGCACTGCTTATTGTTTATTTACCAAATTAGCTATTTATGTTGTCAATCTCTTCCAATCATACCCTTTATGTTATCAATCCCTTTTATCCATCCCACTATCAATTATTTCAATTTCCCTTTCAACTCCTATATCAAATTCGGTCTCACATAATGTATACTTTGTGCATAGTGGCATAATACTCTTTTTTATCAAATTTTTTCGTCAATCAATTAAATGTAGTTTTGAATAAATATATATAATAAAAATATGATATATCAAAATTATATCATAAAAATATGCCAATTATAAATACTTCTTTTATCCCAAAATAGGGCTCTTATTCGATTTACGATGTTTGATTGAAATTATTTTCAAATCAATATTAGTAAAAATTATTGTATAATTAAAAATAGGAATTATATATTAAAAAAACTACATAAAATTTTTTATAAACAAGTGGTGACAATGTGACTTACATATAAAACTACCAATTTATAAATTATTATTTGATTTTCATATTGTGCAAATAGCTTGTGGTTGATTTTATGACAATAGAGTTTTACCATGAAAGAGATTGTTATGAAATGTGTTACTCAATATGGTGACTATAAATATATGGGCAGTACAGATTGATCATGTTATGCAAACACTTTTTGGCAGTGAA